ACTAAATAAATACCACGTGCATCTATTAATAAATACTAAATAAATACGTTTAAAAATAATTAGGAAAAAAAAAACTCCCTCCAGGAGAAAATAAATAAAAAGTTGTTAAAATTTTCTATTTTTATTTTGGGCTGAGACGTTTTTAAAAGACTCGAGATTATTGTGAAGAAAAATACATTTTTATTTTTAGTCAGTTAAGACTTCGGCCTCAGAAAGGTATCAGAAATTAGTTTGTTTATTTATTTATTTTTATAAAAAAAGGGCTTTAAAATGACTTCAAACTGATTTGGATGAAAATATTAAATTTATTAACAAATTTAAAAAAGCTCGTTTTCTTCTCCCAAACCCTGAAACATTTCTCACATTCCTTCATGTCACGATTTAAATGACCGCCACCACGATCAGAACCTTCTGGGTTTGGGTCCAAATGTTTCAGATTTCAGTCATCCTCCGAGTAAACAAACAAACACTCCGAGTAAACAAACAAACAAACAAACAGTTTGTTTATCCTCAGGAGGAGAGAAGGCTGCTCCGCTGCGCTCAGAGAGAAACCAACAGTTTTTAGTATTTTTACTTCATTTTACCGTTTTCACGTCCGGATGATGAAAAAAAAAAAATTAAATCTTCAAAACTTAAATATTTTTAAACTCGGATTAAATTTTTCAAAATTAGAAGCTAAATGTTGCAGTAAGTCAGATTAGAAACAGGTACCGGAGTGTCTGGGTCATGGTTCGGTACAAAAAGAACGAGGCACGGCCGACGGGCAAGTTGGTCTCGTTTCAGCTTCAACTTCCACGTTCTGTTCCGATGTCTACTTTTTTTTTTGTGTGTCTCAAACAGCTAAAGACAGAACCTGCATCGAACCTGGACCAGTCGTTCAAATCAGGGCTAACAAATAAAAAAGGGCCTGCCATAATAGGTGTTTCAAGATGCGCAGTATACGACACAACTTCTTGCCGTACTTGAACATTTATGGGTCTATTTGGAACCAACAGGAAGTTCTTTAAGGTTCTGGGTGTTTGTCTGAGCCACGCGTGTTTAGATTGGATCATGAAATAAAATTAATTCAACAGAGGAACGACTGACGGGACCTTTAGCTCGGACCTTTAGCTCGGACCTTTAGCTCGGACAGACGCAGAAATATTGATTTTGATTCGAGCAGGGTTGTTGGTTTGGATCTCCGGCTCTGAGGCAGCGAAGCAGAACTTCATTGAGAATACTGAGGGGGGATTCTACTCTGTTGTGAGAGAAACAGTTAAAACCAGGCACAAGACCTGGGGGGACTCCTGACCCGACCAGGGTCCGCCTCCTCGCCGTCTGGAGTCCAAACGGACCGGCAGGGTTAGGAAACGGACGCCCGGCGAACAGAAACTCGTCTCCGATGTTTTTAGCTGCTTCTCGTCACTCGATCACTTCATCAAAGTTCAGAGGCTGGTTCCTGAAGAGTCCGAGCTCCGGGACCGGGTCTGGACCCGGAGCTCGGAGGCGTTCTGAGTCCAGCCGAGGCGTTTGATGGAAGCGAACGTCTGCGGTGGGCGGGGTTACCTAGATCTTGACCTCTCAATAGCTTTCAGCTCCTTGCTGTCCTGGTCCTCCTTATCGGGGTCCAGGGGCTTGGAGTCCTGCAGGAGGTTCTCGTCTCCTTCGTCCTCAGACTTGATGTCGGAGCTGACGGAGGAGGTGCTCTGGCCCTGGAGGCCCCTGGACAGAGCTGCAGGAGGAGCAGGAGACTCGCCGTTTATTTATTATTTGAGAAAACACTTTGTTCTCTTCTTTTAGTGAAGCTCCGCGTGAAACTGCTTCTCACAGAAACAGGTTGTTTTTTACATTTGGTTCTGGACCTGCTGGTCCCACTCTCAGGGGGTGGTGTGTGTGGGGGTTCTTACCGCGGTACGGGTCGGACTGGTTGAGGTCCGGGGAGGTGGCCGACTGAACCGGCAGCTGAGGAACCGACACCGGACCCACCATGGAGTGGCCGCTGCGCAGACCGCCATCTTCTCTGTGGGAGCCCACCTGGAGCCGAACAAGGAACAAATTATTTTCAAACTCTTTAAATGTTTTATCTTTTCAAAAACTGAAACTTACAGAGTTAGTAAATATTCAGATGAACATCAACGACACGGATGAAACAAAAAATTAAAAACTGAACAAAGTTTAATTTGACATGTTGCAGTTCTGCTTGTGTCCAGCAGGAGGTGGCCTCCTCCTCCAAACACAGTTCGACTCCTTCTGTTTGTTAAAGAGGCCAGGACCCGTCTGCTGCTCCCAAAGAAAATACATATATATACACATATATATATATATATATATATATATATGTATAAATAAAATATTTTCTTGATTTCATGTTTTCTCAGGAAAACATTACATGTGTAGTTTGCTGAATCCTATCCATCTGTTTACCACACACACACACACACACACACACACACACACACACACACACACAC